AACCTGCCTCTTTGGAGAAAGCCAACTCACATAAATAGAGACATTTTCTGCTTCAAAATCATGCTCGCAAAAATTTACTCATAACCTAAAAAATTTACTAATAACCTAAATTGGATTTGCTAATAACCTAAATTGGATTTACTCATAACCTAAATTGGATTTACTATTAAATTTACGTAATTTTTTACGTAAATTTTCCTTAGTAAAACCAAAAATTTACGTAAATTTTATGGTTAGTAAAATTACTAATTTGGGTGACTTAGGGCATTGCCCTGGGACTCGAACCCAAGGTCGCAGGTGTCGTGAGCTTGAGCTTGGAGCCAGCTTCTATCTCTCCAGCTCGAACATGTCGAAGTGCTCTGCATCATCCACCAGGAAGATCGTGATGTCGATGTCCATGATGTAGTGGGATCCTCTGCCATTCTTGCTCTCCGTGATCTCAAGGATGTAGTGTCAGCCAACCTTTCTTCATCTCTTGTACTCCAGGAAGTCGAGGATGTAGCAACCATCAACTTCATCGAATTCCAGTCCTGATGCCCTGTCGTGATGTTGGGCTCGATTGAGGTTGCCAGCTCAGGATCATCCTGGCACCTTTCCATCGCGCATGCGATCATCGTGATCGCCCAAAACCACCATGGCGTCAACCTACGAGCCCTCATGGTCCTTTGGACCAATCCTCGAGCTCCGCTACCATGTCAAAGGTAGAAGCGGCTCTTTTCACTTCCACTGGCTTGAGAAAGCCGCTGCGGTATTGGGCTCTGAACATGTGTGCAAACAGGTCATGAGTGTCTGTAGTGAAGTCTGACAAGAAGCTAAAACCTTTGAATGTCCTCTTGCTAACCCTGCAGAACAGTCTTGCTACTCCACTAATCCATTTGCCGGAAGGGCCTGGAAGTAGTTGGATGTAGTAGTTGGGCTTATAATGCCCTGAGAGAAGCCTGGGCCTGGGTCAAAACAAACCCTGTGACACCTTTCACAGCTTATAACTATATACCAAATCCAGTTTTTAACCGCTCAGGCACAATCGTCATGTCAGCCACAGATGTCTGTGGAAATCCATAATCATGTATAATATGGTGCCGAAAATCAACTTCGAACACTCCTGTGTATGTCAAAGACCAGTCCATGAAGATGGGTAGTACATCTAAAAAAGGTCACAATTACCGTTGCTGAGAAGCATTGAGGCGGCTCACGCGCGCAGGGGTTAAATGCATTCGTGCTAAGCTGTAAAGTCTGGTAAACAATGGAACAAACACAAACAAATATCAACAGTTTCCATCGAACGTCGCATGATGAGGTTTAAAGGTTTGATAGGGGTGATGTCCTCCATCGCTGAAGCAATATGCTTGTTCACTTCTGCAAACATAAACGTGTCCTTTGGTCAACCGAGGTATTTGGTGTGCTCCACCTTTTGAGCTATCGAAGGTTACGAAAGTTAATGTTATTTTCAAATATTTTGCCACATCCATACAAATATCTTGGATCCTGACAGTTGGAAAGTTAGAGTTGTTAAACATAATGTGACAGTAAACCGATTAATCTTCTGTATATATATATATAGATGTACTTAAGGCATGGAAGAAATTCATGGTCCTAGTTTTGGTGGAGAGAAGAACTGTATCATATAAAAAACCTCCACTATATAAATTGAACATGGTGCACTTACCCCTTAGGGATGTAGCAACGCTTACGCTTAAGGATGACCCCGTGTTCTTAAGGCCTGATCTAGAAAGCGTTCTGGATGTACTGGCCTCTTTCGCTCACGCGCAGCAAGCGGAAAGGAGCAGTCCACGCCCAACTGCAGGTCCCAGCTCTCACAAGGTCACAGGCTGCAAGTCATTCGAAAAGCGGACCGGCCTACAGTATCCCTACAAAAAGATCACACGGCGTCCTGTGCTTGACCGACAACGCAAAATCAAACCAGATTGGGGTGGGGAGACCCCAACGGCTGCCAGGTTGATACCCCGAACTCTAATCAAATCAAGAGAAAGCTCAGAACACACCGATTTAAAGAACGACGCAGTTAAGCAAATGTGCCCAATTCAACGGAAGCTATTCACCCCAAGTGGAAATCTAAGCTACCTCCCGGGGAGCCAAACATTGTGGGGTGCCTCGACCCACTCACATTCCAGCCACTGCCACACGCAAGCGCTGAAGCCGGCGATCGACTGTCCGGCGACTTACACAGTGCTGCGGACCACAGACCCAGAACCTCAGTCGAATGATGTGTATGCGCCATCTTCGCTGCAGCATCGGCTGCATTCCAGAGTGTCAGCCAGCTCTTCCAAAAAAAAACTAGCGCAGTCAGCTTCATGAACATGGGATGGGACATGACAGCATGTGAAGCGACAACCCACACGGCTGAGCCCTGCCACAGATCGTTGGCTCTCACATGGCAAGCACCATGCGTCCTCTAGCAAACGCCAACCACCAAGAGCCGCGTAGCTACTGTCAGTCCACAATCTAGCCCGACACTCTTGGCAGTCAGGCCAGGCCAGCCTCCGCTCTGTCAATGCTATGGCAGCAGGCGGGGGAGCATTTTGGGCAGATAGGTTGAAGGCAACTGCCATCTCTGAACAGGGGCACCACGGTCCACCTCCTCCATAGGTGACAGTTCTCATGAAAGGAATTCGGAGGCTGGGCTCCGGTTGCGCTTCAATTCAATAGTGTCTTGAGCACCGCACCATGGGCAATAGACAGTTTGCGTGTTATCATAATTGCAATGTTGACTAGCGGTAATGAAGGACGCATCCGGCAAACCCGAAGCCCTCGCCTTCGCTGTGTCCAAAAGTTCTTTGCGGCGTCTGAAGACTTGTCGGCGATCAACCTGAGCCAGCCCTCGCACTACACCGCGCCACCGATTGGGTCACAACCATCTTCCAACAGAGACTCGAGGAGCTCCATGGGAGCCTCCTTCAGGTTGAAGGTAATGTCGAAGTGGGCGGTCAACATTGGAGGTGTGTCAACTCTCCAGCGCAGTGAAAAAATAGAAAGCAAAGCCTCCTGTCGAATCAGCATCTGTTTGAAGTCCGTGAGCGATCTGGTAGTACACAGGGTCGGCGCGCAGTGGGCCTGAGAGTGCAGGCCGCAGCAGGGGGGACAATCCGGCCTGTCCATATGGCCCAGGGAGCGCGCTGCCTGCGCGCAACTTCTGCGCGTGAGCACTGCCAAGAAGGCACACTGAAATGCCGTGGCATACCTTGCTCTTAAGCATTGTCGCAACGCATGGTGTTTCTGATCTTCTGCAAAGTCGATTCGTCGCAACTTGGGCCGCAGAGGATCTAAGGCCTTCAGCCGCTTGCTCTGCTCGGCAATGGACCTGCGGCCCGTGTAGCTGCACTGAACTCCTAAATCGAAGCCCATCACGGCAAGAGCGGTGTGGTAGGCAGACCAGACAAATGTGTTGCGTCACCCAGATCCTAGCGCCATTGCGCAAAGAACTCTCGCGTCGCTATGGTGCTGTGTTGGAGGCCCGCCAAGCGAGTGGTCAGGAGTGGCAAATGGTCAACGAACGACGCAGGCGCACTGTCTGGAGCGAAATGATCCATGTAACAGTGGTAACAAAGATCGATGATCGCCATTGCCACGCAACTCAAAGCGCATCCCTCCGGCCCTCCGGTACTCCGGCATTGGTTCCAAGAGCTGGACCAGTTTCTCCTCGGGTTTGAAACCTGCCAGTCATGGAACCCAAAAATGTACTCCGCGCATGAACAATGGGCGCCGGCACGCCAACGTGTTTGGCCAGGGCCAGCGTGGACAGGAAATGTCTGCAACCAATCCAAGCAACTCCGAGTTGGCTGCGTGGGTCAATTCAAGACGTCTTTGAAGTACAATGGAAACGTGCAGGGCCTCCCTGCCCAATAAAAGCATAAACTGAGAAGAGGTGGCCAGTCCTGCCTGCTAAGTGTTGCAACATCGGCTTCGCGCAGACCGAAGCCCAATGTCGAAAAGATGATGACTGGGCGGTATTGGGGAACTGTCTCTGTAGGGACCTGGGCCAAAGCGGCTGCAAAGCCAGTCCTCAGCTGAGCAGACCAAGGCATCTGATTGACGAGCTCCACAGCCATGAACAACTGTAAGATCTGGCGGGTACAATCTCAGGGCATCACCTGCAAATCGCGTGGTTGAAAACCAGGCCCACGAGCGGAACGAGCAGTGTATGGTGCCAAGCAGTCAAACTCAGAGGCCTGTATTCCAAAGGGCGACTAGGCAGGAAGGAAGGCCAACACTCAAGTCCAAATCTCCACGGAGATGTCCTGATGTTTAGTCCTACGCTCCTGGAGGACCGTTGGGACCTGGGTGCGGCGGTCTCGACACGGTATATCAGCCAAGGTTGGGAATCATGGAGGCCTTGCCCGATGGAGTGATCCACGGTAAACTGTGTGCCAGTTGGATCAACCTCCATGATATGTGCCTCAATGCGCTCCAAAGCGTCAGCATAATCCTTGCCCACAGGTCGGATCTGGCTAAAAGTCTGATGTTTGTGAGCTTGAAGGCGAAGAGCCGCAACTTCTGCCCTCTTTTGCTCAAAAGCGAACGGCCTCCGCGCACCGTCCCAATGCTTCAAACAGGCATTGTGGTCGTTGTGAAAAAGACACAAGCCACGCGACTCACCTCGGACCTCATTTCGGACACCGTCAGAATACACTAGTTTTAACAGCGTAAAGCGCACCAGCTCTTTTTTCCATGGCGAAACATAGGGTTTCGAGCACATCCACACGCTTCCTTCGCGCATGCCCGAGAATCATAGCAACACAATTACAAGCAGTTTGCATGCATGCCTTACATAAAGCTCATCATTGAGAGCCTTTGCACGGACTCAACATGCGCGTATTTGAAATTTGTTCGCGCAAGTTGATGCCTAAGATAGCCATTCAAACATCAGTGCGCAAGCTTCTCACCACAACCTATTGAACCCTTCGAAGAACCTCCCGTCTCGACTGATCAATGATTGTCCAGGGGAACACATTGATCTGTGACAGGAACAAAAAAACCCGGTCCTCGGTAGCTGCCCAACGAGACCCATGGAATCTAAGCCAGCCTCCATGCAACGTATTTTGGATATTTTTGAGTCAATTCCGAATGCGCTTGAGTCCTATTCCGCTCCTGTGGGCCGAGACCCTGAGATGCAATTGCATCTACTAAGCACCTAAGACGACTACGAAACAAACAAGAAATAGTTGTGTGTATTAAATTATGACAGGGATGGTTGTTTCTTGTAAGTGCCATGCGCAAGAGCAAGCCGTGCTCTGCGTTGAATGGCACTCTTCAAAGCAGGAGCCGCGTCCTCTGAAAACAGCCCATCCAGTCTTGTGATGTCTTGCGTGTGGGTAGCAAGTGGGGTCCTCAGGCAAATTTTCGGAGGACAGCTCCTGACAGTGCGCGCTGTCAAGGCCGTATTATTTTGTTCAATTCGTTTGAGTCGGGCTTCATATTGCGCCTGAAGACGGCGGAGCACGTCAGCTTGACGTAAGGGCCCAGAACGCACCGCACCTCTTGCAGCTCTTGCAACATGCCCCTGGATGGACCTACCAGATCACAACTGAGACAATGCACGATTTTTTCAAGACAGTCAATCAAGGCAACTTCATTCACCACACTACCTGCTGCATTGCAGGGCTTTTGGCTAAAAGAAACAAATCCTGAGGCAATACGGGAGCCTCAAATGACATTGATAGAACCACTGCAAGCCTAACCAGCTCCCTGTGCCAAATTGAACCTCCAACATAAGTACCTTATATTTAGTGGAACCAAAAAGACATTCCAGGAAAAACTCGAGGCTGCTGAATAGGATTGAATAAGAACCTGAATGGAGCAATAACAAACTGGAACTGGAAGGAACAACGTATTATAAAGAACTTCGAAGCAACAAACAAGTAAAACAATGTAACGGAATGCAAGGGACAGCGGTCCTAAATGAAGGAAAGGGCATCAACTGACACCAACAAGGATATCAGAGGTGGGCAAGGAGGGCGGCAAGGAACCAACTCTGGAGAGTTTCCTGTTCTCTTTAGATTGTGTGAAGTCTGCAGGCAATCACCACATTGTCGGTTCCACCTCTCTAACAAGAAACATGAAACTATGTGCACAACAGCCCGTGTGAACAACAGTGCACACGCTACAACAAAAGTATTCTTCTGCGAGAATAAGCACAACACGGGTCAAAGCAACGTGCACACACAGTAGGTGGATAACACTGGCAAACTTGATCAAACTTGCAGGGGGACATTAACCATGTTTATCTGTTTTCCAAGCAACGCCAGAACATGTACCGCACCTGGGCTCGAATGCTGGATCCCGTGTGCCCTTTACGATCACATCCAAGGAACTTGAGAACTCCTCAGTTTTCAGCTCTGTCTGATGAGAAACAGAAAAATGCGAAGCAGTCCAGTCCTCCCAGCCAGCCCACTCTACCAGGCCTGGGCAAGAATCAAGAGCTGCCACTTGTCTCCATCTTGGTATCCCTTTTGGTGCATGTTGTCTGCGAACATCGTTGTTCTTGTCATGCTCGTGAACCTTTGCGTCATTCTCCAGGCAACCTAATTAATCTATTTATATATACAACTCCGCAAAGACAGGGCTGTTATGCAGAAGCTCACAAAAGTGTCTGATTGATTGGACATGCTTTTCACTACAGTCAAATCCTCTTTACTACATGGCCTGGGCATTCTACAAAAAGTAAATGTAGTTTTGACATGACCAGCTGATGCACTTTGCAAGGGCAAAGATAACTTTAAGCCTGTGACCAACTGCCCTGGCATCCTCCGTGAGGGTGAATGTCCCAGCTGGTGTCTGAACGACACGCAGCAGGCTCACACAAGTTCAAAAACTTCTATATAACCATATGTGTGTATATATATATATATGTACACATGTCTAAGAGGAGCATGGGCCTCATTGACAACTGTCCAAGCTTTCATTGCCACTTCGAAGTCCTCGCCCGTAATTCCGACAGCTCGCCCAAGCACAGGAAGGGGAAGGTACCTGGTGCCACTAGTCACTAGCATCAGCAGCTTGACAATCACAATGTAGTTTCTGCACCTTTGCCCGTCTTCGCCTTCGAATATCCTCAATGGAAAGGATTCCACTCAAAAGAAAACCGTGGAACCGCTGGCAGAGCGTCCGCGCCCCAATCCAGCTGCCGCATCGCTATCTTTTGGAGCCAGCTCAAAAAGCCTGACCAGGCTGACCCAGTGATGTCTAGGTGTTGGTCTTCTGCTGGACATGTGTGTTTCCTTCTTGCAGTCCTTTTGTACTTTCTTTCAACCTGCAATTTTGTCTCGTGGGCTAAATCACCTGAGAAGTGCATTGCGAAGCTTCTCCGATGTGGTGACAGCTTCAGGTTCTTTGGGACTTTCAGGTCCTTGCACACATGAAACGAAAACCTTGTACACTGCCACCTCGTAACATCGGCCATGGATGACCATTGTTTCCAAAACTGGAGTCAGCTATATAGTTCCTGTAAAGCATATTTCTAGTCAGAACCACTCCACTGGTATTCAATGTAATAATTCAATATTGTACACACACATATATATACATGTAGTTGCCCATGGACTTGACCTTATCAAGCTACTGTTACCAAGGCAGGACAACACGTCCTACAGCTTCATCAAGGGAGTGATGCTGAGATAAACTACTAGAGTCTGGAGGGGATGCGTGTATGTGTATGTGTGTATGGCCAAGTTGCCAACTATAAATTATAATAGGTCCTGGAATGAATTCTGGATTTTTCATTATGTTGTTGGCTTATTGTTTTATTTTGTGCTGGTGTGGCTGGACATGCAAATTTCCTGGCGCGCAGAGTTTTGTTAACCTCGGAGTGCACTTTGGGAAGCACGGAGCGCTGATCTTAACATGCAGGTCTTGTAATGTCAGACCTGGTAACCCTTGAGATCCACCGTTGTGGGTCGTGATGGTGTTGCGCCACGATTCAAAGGTTTTGTCTTTTTAAGCTGATTTTTGCGGGCAGGCGCAGCACTGTATGCCCTTAGGTGGCTTACAAAAGGTATCCTACGGCTTAACCTGCTCATAGAAGATGTGCTATGTTGGAATGGTCCCTTTCCTTCTCTAAATTTTGCCAGATTTTACCTTGGCAGCGCTTTGTAAACCTCCCTAATCTAAGCATCCAAGTCATTTGTCAAATGGCCAAAGCCTGGTGGCCCTTAGCATCCACCGTTGTGGGGTTGCGGTGGTCTGATGTGTACATGCTTCATATTAGTGCAACAGCTGGTGAAGCATCTCAAAGAGGTATCTATATTCAGTTGCTGCTTCATTGTCTTTCTCCGGTAGCAGGCGCAGCACTCTTCGAGCTTCCAAAAAATCATCATGGCGTGCGAAGGGTTTTGTAACCTGGAAAAGATGTTGTAAAAGGCACGGCACTCGATGATCTTAGTAACTTAGTGCAGATTTCATGGCTACCACAGCACTAAGTGGACCTCAAAGTCCTGATCTTAGCATCCGCATCATATGTGAGAGGGCAAAAGCCGGGTGGCCCTTAGCATCCACTCTTGTGGGGTTGTGCTGGTCTTGCGTCTACATGCTTTCTATTTCTGCAACACATGGTGAAGTGATAGACCTTAACTTGTCTGTATTAGCGGTCTCTTTTTTAAAACAAAACATCGGCCGCACGGCGAACAAGAGACAAATGCATCGCCAGTAGTGCAGAACACCAAGAGCAGGAAAAGCATACAAAGGCAGAAAAGCAAACAAGACATCATTACGACTCCCTGACTCAAGGACTGAAAGACAACTAAATCAAAAGCGGCAGCAACAAAGACCATAGAAAAAAACATGCAAAAGGGAATCCATACGCTGCAAACAGACGAGAAGAAGGAAATTAAAGCCAAGCAGGAGAAAAGGCGGGCAAACTAAACCAAGCACAACACCAGCAGCAAAAGCAAGAAAACAAAGAGGATTCACAAAGAAGCAATGAAAAGCAAGGAAAGCAACAGAAGCACAGAAAGGCAGGAACAGCAAGAAAAACAGAGAAACACTGAGAAGCAATGAAAGCAGGAGAGATCATAGAGAAGCCAGGAAAAGCAAGGCAAGCACAGAAAAGCAAGGAAAAGCACCACAAGCAGCAAGAGGCAGAAACAAACAAATCAAAAAACAAAGATCAAACAAATACCCCTCCAAAATATAGTAAGGTGAGCATGGTATCTGGCAAATGTAAACGAAACAGTCGGTGGGCGGAGAAGAAACTCACAACAGGAATCAACAGGGTATCATGATGTGACTTGAGATGTGCCAAGGAAAACATATTGAAGCAAATGAATAGTCATGCCTCCTTCCAGGAAGGTTCAGCTTGAGAGGCTCGCGTAGAAATCTCAACCAAGTATGTCTTTCTGGTTTGAGAAGGACAAGCCCAACCTTCACATATGTGAATACTTGAATTGAATCCTCTGAGAATATAGAGGCGCAGCATGCACAAATTGTCACCTGGATATCCAGAAAGTGTGCGTGAAACCAAGTACCCACAAAAAACAAAGTTGGCTGTGTTGTGCAAGAGGCCACTTACAAGTTTTTCCAATGTAATTTACATGTCTAGTGCTGGATCGGAAACGGTGGGTTCACAACCGGCCATCAGAGGTTGGATTGCTGTGTGCCATTCTACCTAAGGGCTAAAACTTTCCAAGAACCCCCCAAGGCTAACCATACCTGATCAGTTCACCGCGAATTGAACTTGGGTTTCATAAAACATTTTGTTTTTCCAAACTGCAACACCATGTCCAAAATACCTAAAATAATCATGCCTGTTGTGAAAACATGCATTGGATTGCAGTGTGACCAAACATGTGAAAGATGACAAATGAGAGAATGCGATGAAACAAATGCTAATGAAATCGATTCTGATCAACGGAGTTGCTGCTCCTGGAGGAGCTGGCTCTGGAGGAGGTGCAGGCTTCTCAGGCCTAGCGCGGCAAACCAAAAGTCCGAATATTCTGAGGTTTCGGCTTAGAAACTTGAAGTGATCTGAAAACGACACAAGCAAATGTGTATCATATATGAGTAAAATAATATGTCTTCCAAACTACCCTCAAATGCCCTTCTCCAAACAAGCAGGGGCACTTCTTGGGCGCGTTTACCTGGCAAGGAGTTAGGTAATCTGGATACGGTATAAGGACATTTCTGTGGAAACAAGCCCGGAAGACTGCTAGCCACTGAGAGATCATCTCTCTGACATTCGGAGCCAACGCAACACCTTGCTGATCCGCCTGGCAAATTGGCAGCTACACCGCATGGTTGACAAAATGTATGAGGAAACCCCAAAAAAGAAACACTGCGCCATTTTTTTCCCTCGGCTTGGACGTTGAGGAGCAACATACTTTTAATTGTTAACAGCGTCTTTACTATTTACAAAAACGGTCTCCTATTCGGAACCATTGAATTTCATCGATTTCAATCACATTGTCATCGATTTGACAACAGTGTCATCAGTGTCATCGTTGTCACAACGTTTGTTATCGAAGAGTCGTGTGATTAAATGGTGGTCGAGTGGTGGGTCATTGTCATCAATGAACCGACAAGGTTCTAAGTTCTAGCCCGACGGAGACACAACCGGTGAATTGGTACTTTTTACTGCTTTTCCATACTTTGTAGGCATGCTTGGTAGTTTTGGATGATTGAGGTACCACATTTTGGTTCGAGCCGCCCAAACAGCCGTTCGCTCCACAAGACCTCCACTTCCTGTTAGAGTGAACATTGAGCATCAGGGACGTGCAGTTTGTGTGTACACATACGAAATATTACGTAAATACCGGTGAACCTAGGGGCCACGCAGTTTCCACGTCCTCCAGCGCGTCTTGACAGGCAAGCCCACCGTTCTACTGAAACAGCCAAAGCCAGCCGCCCCTGATATTGTGACGATTATGACATGGCGCATATAGAAAGCTATGGCGCGCTGTTCGCAAAAAGGCCCGAGCCTCTTTCACACCGGCTGTAACCTCTGCGTGATTGCCAGCCTTACATTTTCAGCCGTCCAAGTCAGTAGAGTGGGGCTGCTTGTGCTTCGGAGCCTCAATGCCAGCTCTGATCCGCAAAAGGGGTGACGGTGTTTGTGCACTTGGTGCCTCAGCAAGGCCACGCACAAACCAGAATGATACACTAACCCGTCTACCTTCACGGGTACGGCTTGGCAAAAAATGAGCACATAGAGATACACTCTAGAGTCTTGTCTTCATCTCGGGTGCCGGCTGCTGGACCTGCTGTGACAGGCTAACATGCAGGAATATGACACGATGTTGCCTTGAGACGGGTTTTCCTCCAGGTTGTGTCAGCGATGCTCCATTGCAACCGCCGCAACCACTCGCACAGCCTGTTGGTCAAAGCTGGAAACTGCAAACGCTCTGCCTGCAAACGCACTGCGGCACAACAAAAACAAATTCACACTGCCATCAGTTGCCTGCCTGAGTTTGCACCAAAGCCCTGCGTGCAAAACAAGCATGAGCACATGTCAAATCGTAAACACATACAAACACATACTGCTCATAGCAATATCAATGTCAAACAACCAAACCAGCTGCCTGAAACTGCATGCTGCAGTTTAGATGCTGGTGGGTTCAAAGGCTGCAATTGTTTTGTGTCAAAGGCTAAGCAGCTTGCCATATTTTGCGTTTGTTCAACCACTTTAGTACGTGTCTTTTTACGCACCTGGAATTGAACAACGTGTTCTCATTTGCTCTTTCTACAAACTACATCTTGCAGGTGTGCACTTTATTCATAAGAGACCAAGTTCTCTGTGATCGCGCGCAGGCTCCATGATAACGAGCTGTTGACAGTCCAAAGCCCTTCCTTGATAGCTTGAAATTTCAAGATTGGTGTCAGATGACATGCACTATTCAGGCGCAGGTTTCGAATGAGCTCAACGGAGGACGGAACTATTGAAACTGTTTCTTTGACGCAAAACAAAGAAGGCAACCGCCAGCAACCCGGCAAATTCCGCCGTCTTGGTACTCCGCAAGCAATCGTTCTTCTTTGTTCCACTGCTCTCGTCTCTTCTGGACTGAACAAACCTCTCCCAAAGCTTTAATTGGAGCTTCACATTTGAGGCATCCAAAGCGTCAAGAGACTGAATTAGACACAGGTTCTCCATGGTTCTCTTGAACTTTCCAAAGCAACAGTAAAATAATGTATATAATATTATATAACTTGAAAGGGGTAAACTGGAAGCATCGAAGCAAGCTCATCCAAACGGTATTTATGTGCTTTTGCGAGCAATATCAATGTCACGAGCTTGAGGCAGCTTTTGGGTCCATTCCGGGCGTCCATCACTCAAAGCTTGCTTGTTACCATTGTCACCACCAAGAACTCCTTCGCGGTTGCCTGGGCCATGTCAACCATTTCGTTGGTGGACAAAGAACATGAATGAAAGCATGGTCGGCATTAGCACTCAACTTCTTTCATGCTGTGACACCATTTTAGTGTA